TTATATTTTTAGTTTTTTTTTTTTAAGTTAATTTATAAGCCCTTTTGAGTGTAGACTAGGGAATATCATAATCTCAAGGTCATTTAAATAGTTACATTAATAACTTCATCTCCTGTTTAGTTTTGTCTCAAAATCCTGTCTGACGTTCTGTTTTTGAAGACAGCTAAGACTCGAATAGTAGAAAAGTAGAATAGGCCGTCCCAACCAGTAGCCAGTTTGAACGTAAATTATTTTTTATTATTTTATAGCTGCAACTTTACTTTCCATTGGCCCTACCAAGTTGCAACATAAAGTAACATTTCAAATTATGTGAATGCTGTTTTATTAGTATTTAAAATAAACTTAAACTATAGTAAAACTTGCTATAAACCTGCTTAGGGAACTTTGTCTGCGGTCTTCAGTATAACTCGGCTTATATTATCAACCTTTCTTTCAATGCATATCCTAGTATCTTTGGAAAGAATTTTCTGTTTGAGATGTATTTAATATACTAACGTTGTCAATCGGATACTTGCAAGAACGAGTAAATAGTTAAAAAAGATGTTTTGGAACATAGTTCTTTATCGGACGGTACGGGTTTGGCGGATGGGAGCTAGGCGACAAAAAGTGTAAGATTTTTTTGTCACTACCCCTTGTGTCAGTGTAGACGGCCTTGGCGGCGAAATAAGGAAGTGAGATGGAATAATATCCATCTCCCTCGCACGTCTTTTTATCTTGCCATGTGTAGGGGCTGCGACGGAACCCCCACTTTTGATCGTTTGACAGTAGTTGATAGTAAATGATAGTCAATTCTGGGAAGTTGATAATTGATAGTTTATTGATAGAACCAACTAAATCTAATTTAATGATAGATGGGAAATGATACTGCGAGCACGCGCGACCGGTATTGCTGGACTCAATGGGCGCACTGATTCAAAATGCATTATTGTAGCTTAATAGCGTAAACTGCTGACGCTACAAAAATGTACGTGCTGCAGCCCGTACATGCTCCCGGGCTGAAATATAGAGAGTCATGATGATGAGATGAGTTTAAAATTAATAACAAGGTGATAAACATTTTTGCTTAAAACTAGTTACAAATGATTGATGCAAAATAAAGACAATAACAGTGTATTAAGACACCCGTGTCCGTGATAGTAAACACCGATTGAAGCACTGGTGAGGTGCCACGGTTTTGCTTTTGTTTACGCGAGTTTTTAAATTTTTCAATTAATTCGCTAGTAATGTCATCGCTGTTACACTGCACTGCACTTGTTTGCAACTCTACATCTACAAGTTGCACTACACTATTACACTGCACTTCACTATTAGACTTAACTTCACTACATTTATTTTGTACGCGATCACGACCTGCCCGCCCCCGCGCGCGCTGCACGCGCCGCCAGACGTAGAATCCGCCGAATACTCCAGCCGTTATAATCACCAGGTAGAGGACGGTGTGATGGTGAATGTCGTGATAGGATACACCTGCAGCTAACGGCTCAGTCTGTTTCATGACATCCAATTGTTCTCGTATGGCAAGCAGTTGTTGTTGGCTGATAGTCTCCAAGCTCGTGCTGGCGTTCACCTCCGGTATCGAGATATTTATTAAATAATTAATTGAAGCGATCTTCGGTATACCAATGTCGGGCTTTGAATTGATTTGAGATGCATCTGGTTTTGTATGCATAAAAATGGAAATCAGCTGATTTGATAAGGCAGTCCTGACCCAGCGTAATAAGTCCGGCGTCACTTAATTGAATACCCGTAACTTGATCTTCGCATAACAACTTGAAGTATCATTTATTACAACAGAAATAAAAATAGTTATTAAGTTTACTTGTTGCAATGAAAATATTTTTGCAGGTGTTAATGATTGTTCTACAGCTTCCAAATCCTTCATCCTTCTCACACAAACTGTTGTCATTGATCATATGATAAATAGGCTTCTTGAATCGACAGAACACAGTATCTAAATCGCGATCAATGCAGTCATGTAAATCAGTAAATGAGCGATATATACGAATCCTTGTTTAAGTTTAACGCGAGGTATACCCGATTGTTTAGGTATGGGAATTGCTTTAAGGACTTCGTAAATGTCTCGTGCTAATAATGGAATTCGGATTTCGAAAATAAGAAATGACTGCGATAAGTGTGCTTTTACGTTAAGTAATTTGTATAGATTTGAATAATTCGCGTGATCGGTAGGTAGTGATAGGTCTTTAGGTATCTGAGTGGAGATGGCACTTAATTCGTGGTGGAGTTGCTTGGGGGTTAATAGATGAATATCATACTTCCCGTGACGTTTGATTCTTCCACAACTGGGCTAGGTATCCTTGGTTTTTCCTGATTAATTCGATATCTTCTTCATATTTTTCAGCAAAGTTGCTGTCAAGCACCCCAAACAACGCGTTTGCGATATTACCTACATCATTGATGAGTCCCCGGCGCTTACGTGTGAGTAGGTCGCCCTTATCTTGCAACATGATATTGTAGCGCTGTAGTTCCGAGTGCTCGTGATTCAATTGATACATGACACCCTCGCAGTGTGAATGCTCTCTTATCTTCGCACAGATGGTTTCTAGGTATTCCATGTACTTCGAGGACGCGGCGGTGCCTTCCCAATATGGGTAGAGATCATAATAGACAACGAGTCTTCAATCGTCAGCTATCAATTGCATGTTTACAATTTTGTCGAAAAATAGGCTAGTATTATTTTGTAGTTTATTTATAGTATATAGTCCGCTAGTATAAGTTATAAGGGTCATAAAAAATAATGAGATAGAAGTTGCAACTGTAATGAAACTGTATCTTCTATTCCTTTGTTTTATACTTTTCGTTGATTTCTCTTGCTTCAATTCTTGATCTTGTGTTTCTTCTGAGATAGGGAGTATTGATAGTTTGATAACAGGTCTTTTCATATAACTATTTTTAGTTTTTAACGTCACAACACGCACGTAACCGTCATTACCAGGGTGCAATTCTACCACCCTACCGAGGGCCCACTTGCCTGGAGGAAGGTTACCATCATTGATGAGTACGATGTCATTTAATTTGATATTTTCTTGAGGTTGGCGCCACTTGCTCCGGGTTGATAGATTTGTTAAATATTCTTGTTGCCACCTTTTCCAAATGTCTTGGAATATTTTTTGTGTTAAATGCCACCTAGTCCTAAGATCTCGTTCCGTCTCATAAATTGATAGAATCGGACCGCTTGATAGAAAATATGATGGGGTTAAATAATTTAAATCATCAGCGTCCTCCGTCAATGGGCATAGTGGTCTCGAATTTAAGCAAGCTTCTAATTGTGCTCGCAGCGTGCTGTACTCCTCGTAGGTGAGTTTTTGATCACCAAGCACCCTCCTTAGAAGATACTTGAGGCTTTTCACGGCTCCTTCACAAAGACCTACATTTGATACAATGACGTAATCTCTTTTTCGTAGCTCTGTTGCCACCGACGATCCAGTATTTTTGTCTCAAGTTGGCTGATGTTAGCCGAGCACCATCATGGTATGTCATTTCATGTGCCTGATCTGTAAGAAGCTCAGCAAGGCGACTGTTGCCGGGTATAATGATAGGATTTCTCATGTCTGGGTCCAGATTGGCATTTCGTAACCTCCCACCGACTCTCAATACTTCATCTTGAGCAATATACGGATTTAGTTCACAAATGTTGCTTTTTCGATTTATTTTATTTCCTTGCTTCAAATCTGACAACTCTCTTTCAAATCCCGTTTGTTGTATATTTTTTATAATTAATAACTTAGCTTCCTTCAACTCTCGTACTGTTAAATAATTTATATTTTGTCCTTTTTTAAAAGTTAAAAATCTCCGAATCCATGCTACTATTCTTACCGCTTTGTTAATTGTGCTATATTTTGATAGGATTTCTTGAATGATAAAATCAGGTTGATGTTGTGCTACTAAAATTGTTTTTGATCATTTTAATTCTTCGTTTGTTGTATAAGCGATCTTATACCCTTGGTCATTAAATGTTGATAGTCAAGTCAGGCCCAGCCACCACAAGTTCTGGGCTTTGAGTTGCGATGCAGTTAGACCACGACTAGCGATGTCGCCTGGGTTTTCTTCCGACTTAACGTACCTCCAACAGTCAGGTGGCATATTTTCGGTTATTGTACGAACCCTATCTGGCACAAACGTTTTCCATCTGGTTGATTCTCCGTTGAGCCACCCCAGTACTACCATGGAGTCAGTCCAACCATATATTTTGATATTGTACCTACTGAGGCACTCTTGAACTTTACCCATTAGCTTTGATAGGAGTTGTGCTCCGCTCAGTTCCAACCGCGGTAACGAGACTGTCTTGCTGGTTGGTACAAGCCTGGCTCTGCCGGCCACCAACACTACCGATGATTTATTGCCCTTGTTGATACGACAATAGATCACACATGCATAAGCTCTTACAGACGAGTCACTGAACTCATGTAACTCGATACTGTCGCACTCATGGATCTACAGCCATCGAGGTAACTGAATGTTTTGAATATTGTGCATGTCCTCTCTGATCTTCTTCCACTCTACATATACTTCATTCGGTATAGGATCATCCCAGTTAATATTATCTGCAGCCCACACTTGTTGAAAAATAATTTTTAACTTAGTTGGTAGTGGTGATACCCAACCGAGCGGGTCAAAAAGTTTTGATATGTCTGATAAAAGGTTTCTCTTTGTGACCTTCTTGGAGACTTCCGTCGGTTCTAAATTTGATTGAAACATAAAAACATCCTCTTGTGGATTCCATCTTAACCCAAGGGTTTTTGTTTGCCCTGATTGCTTGAAATTAAAGTGTCGTCCTTTGATAGAGCTGACTCTTCCTCTCTGATCAAGTCATCGGAATTTGGTCTCCATTTCCTCAAATGAAATCCAGCTGATATTAATAAATTGATAAGGTCTTGTTGTAATTGACGTGCGGTTCTTATATCGTGACACCCATGGACCATGTCATCCATGTAAAAACAGTTGTTTAATACGTCGATCGCCTGACTGTTTTGATAATTAGGTTATTCATCACATGCAAGCTGTTTGAGAGTCATCATCGCTAGGAACGGCGCTGCTTTCATTCCGTATGTGACCGTGGTAAGTTGATAGTCTTTGATAGGTTCTGAGGGAGAGTCACGCCAAACGATTCTTAATAACTGTTGATCATCGGGGTGGATCCAAATCTGCCTGGACATTTTTTCAATGTCGGCTGTGAATGCAAACTGATATTGTCTATACTTGATTATGAGAGACTGCAGATCCTCTTGGAGATTAGGACCACATTTCATAACGTCATTCAAGCTATTCCCCCATGATGTTTTACACGAAGCATTAAATACCACTCTAAATTTAGAATTCATGATAGTGTCGTCAGCACGCACACAATGATGAGTTAATACACAATGCCGACGTCCCTGCGTCGGTTTACCGGTAGCTGCAATCATGTGTCCGAGGGCGCGGTATTCGTTTATAAATGATTGATATTGATTTTTAATGTTTTCATGTTTTTTGAATATGTTTTCTAACGATTTAAATTGAGCGATAGCTTTTGATTTTGACTCTCCTAGCTTATCCGAAAAGTCTGGGTCGAGGGGCAAACGTACTTCGTATCGACCGTCTTCACGCCTGATAGTAGCAGACTTGTAATAGTCGATGCATTGTTGATCATCTAATGCTAGCGTAGATTCTTCACTGATATCCTCCATCTCCCAGAATTTTTGGATCTCCTTTAAGTCGTTAATGATCAAGTTACATTGTAAAGTTTTGACGTTACCAATTAAAATCCAACCTAAACGAGTATTCTGAGTTATCGGTATATTATCATTCAACCTACAAATTCCCTCCAATAAAATTAAAGAATAAACATCTGCTCCTAACGGAGGGTCGACCGGGCGACTGATATTAAATTCGGGATCTGCTAACGTGATGTTATTTAAATATGTCCAGGACGGTTTTGAAAAGCTAAAGTTAGGTAAGTTTTCGATAAGGCTTTTCATTATGTATACCTCAGGTTCAAATTCAAAATCGTTATTTATAGCTTTGCATTTGATAGTCATGACGCACTTACAATTGCTTTCCTCTTTAGGTACCTATTCCAGATATCACTCGCCGACATCGAAGTCGAGGTAGGCCGAGCAACTGAGCTGCATGTTCACTGATGAGAGAAGCTTGGGACCCCTGATCTATTAGAGCACGCATGTTGACGAAACTCCCATCATATTTTTGTACCTTAAGTATAGCTGTAGCTAAAAGAATTTCAGGCACATCAGATTGCATCGACACGTCTAAGTTGCTTCGTACTTGACCCGAAGTTTCAGGTTTCTGGTTGCTTCCGCGGGTTGGTACCTTCGACGAATTATTATAATTATGTTGAAATGATTGATGCAAAATAGAATTATGCGCTTCATTGCACTCTGTACATCTTTTGTCGGAAATACATGGCTAACAATTTGTGAATAAAGGCAATTTTCGCAAACATTCAGTCTTGATACAGTTTTAAGCTTTAGGTGAGGTGTCATGTTTAAAAACTGTCGGCAATAATAAAGACAATGTTCATTGGTTTTACAAAGTCCACACTTATAAAATTTCCAAGAAGTATTGTTATTCGTGTTTGATTGTTGTAAAGTGAATTTACCGCGCGTCGGAAAGGCTTGTTTATTCAAGTTTCTTTGATACCTATTATTGAAATGTTGCGGCGAATAATTGTTGTTGCTATGTACATTTTTTGCAAAGGTCTCAGGTTTCTTTCGAGAAGATTCTAAACTTGTAAACTTGCCTTCTAAAAATGATAGAAATTCATGCAAATTAGGTAACTCGCGGGGCTCCTTGACTGACGCCATGTATTCATTATACGTGTCAGCATCGAGCTTTTGCGAAAGGAGATGCACAAGCAATGAATCCCACGAATCAACGTTAACGCCTAAATTTTTGATAGCGTTTAATGTTTCTAGGGTTGTGTCGTGAATACGCTTTATATGATTTAATGACGTATGTTGCATTACGGGGATATTTAGTAAGATATCGATATGCGAGCGGAAAATTAAGCATTTGTTATTATATCTGCCAGAAATTCTGCCCAGTATTTGTCTAGAGTATCTAACCTTCGTTTGATATAATCTGCCGTCTTTCGATCGGCACTATCCTTTTTAAAATTGGTAAAAGTCTGCTCTATGGCACCGAACAATTGCTGTTGATTTGCCAAAATATGCTCCATGTTGGACATAGTGATAATAAAAAAAGAAAGATCTTACTTGTTCAGATCTGCTCAGCTGTTTGCAGATCACCGACTTCCGATGTTGATAATCCGATGATAGCTCACGTCTCCTGCTGGTTCCTCTCACTTGTGATGCACACTTTTTGTACACCCACGCGAGTTTGTCGAAGGACCAGAAAAATGTAGGGGCTGCGACGGAACCCCCACTTTTGATCGTTTGACAGTAGTTGATAGTAAATGATAGTCAATACTGGGAAGTTGATAATTGATAGTTTATTGATAGAACCAACTAAATCTAATTTAATGATACATGGGAAATGATAGTGCGAGCACGCGCGACCGGTATTGCTGGACTCAATTAGCGCACTGATTCAAAATGCATTATTGTAGCGTATGTAATAGCGTAAACTGCTGACGCTACAAAAATGTACGTGCTGCAGCCCGTACACCATGAAAGAAATATTATTTTATTTCAAATGACGCTTCATAGACAATAGATGCTAGTAATTAATTTATTTGTATTTGTTAATCAATAATATAATACCTACGTTTATCAATAATAATATACTACGCAAGGAGCTTCGTTCCAACCGAGTGTTGCACGACACTCACGCATTTTTTTTTTAATTTTTTAAATTCATCCATTTTATAAATATTCACTGTTGGCATTTTGCCATAGTTGCCACGCAGTTATTTATAATTTTGAGTTGTTATCAAGAATCGGGATGATATGACGATATGTTTATTCAATACTTTCAATCGTAAACTTATTTCTTAAGTAAAATATAGACAATGTTATAAAGAATAGACTTCTAAAATTCGTTTAAAAAAATTAAGAATGAAAAAGAACATATTCCTAATCTAATTATCATGGCAAAATAAATGTGAACGTCCTTAAGTACTCCTCAGTACAATGACATCAGACTCGTTTGTATTCCCATTCAATCACGTTGCGTCAGCAAAATCTATATCTATAATGAAATAGATAGAAGTATTACATTCAAAGAGATTTAAATATATACTACTACTACTTAAATGTCTTTGATTACATTACGAGTACAGATGACAGCTCCATATTTACTCCGTTAAATATTAGCAATGGAACATTTAAAAAAGCGCTATCTTTTATCGCACTCGCTGATAACATAATATTTATATCTTGACAGTTACTGTACACCTTAAACAGCGGTTTGAGTTTCTTGGTGACACTCACTATCGCTCTGTTCGCTCTGATAAAAACCTCACCCTCAAAATTCCATCTCATAACCCTTCCTTCTATTCTAAATCCTTTTCTGTTGAAGCTGTTAGGCTCTGGAACTCCCTACTGCTGCACATTAGAAGTGCGCAGTCTATTGATAAGTTTAAAAAACTTGTCAAAGCGCACTTCTTTCCTCCTTAAATAGTCATTCCTCTAAAAAAATACTACATACTCATTTTTCCTTATTTTTAGGCTTTGACTTCACTTACTTGTTTAATCCTTTCTGCTCTCGTATATGTATGTCTATATTTTTGTATTTAAAATGTATTTATTAATTAAAGTATTTATGTATTTATTGATTATATAATTATATGTATGTCATGTGTATTTTCCATCAACCTACGTACACCCTTACCCTTTCTCACAGGTCATTTTATCCTCTGCAATGGTATGCCTGGTAGAGATCGCTCCCAAGCGATAAGGCCGCCAATTGCACCTTTAAATAAGTTATGTTTTTTTTTTCTCATATGTAATCCTGGTGTACAATAAAGTATATTTCATTCATTCATTCACCTGTATACTATATCTATACATACTTACAGGTGAATAAAAGAGCCTTGGCAACTCAGGAATTGTAGGGCGGGTCAGTGTAGTCGTTTTAAAAGTTTAGAATACACGAGCCGACCGAGTTCGATCCCTGCCGGCACCAACGAAATTTTAAATTGTATTATCAAATCTGGGTTTACCATATGCTCGGTGTTGAAAGAGAATATCATAAAACCTGCATTTTCATGAAGTTGAATAAAAACTATTTCGAAGCAATGTGAATAACAAACACTCATTAGGGCAGCGCGCAAACTCCTTGTGTGCCTTTCTGCATTCTGTGATGTTAACCATTTGACTTTTGCAGCTTCGTCTGTACAGGATCATTTAGATATCGAGTGATCATTGGTGAAATTGATTTATAAAAGAGGAAATGGTGTTTTTTTTGAAATTGGTTTCATCATCATTACAGCCCTTCACAAGTCCACTGCTGAACATAGGCCTCCTCCAAAGAATGCCACAAGGCACGGTCCTGAGCCACCTGCATCCATCGACTTCCTGCAAATCTTACCAGGTCGTCACTCCATCTAGTGGGGGGACGCCCTACACTTCGCCTGCCGGTACGAGGCTGCCACTCGAGAACCTTTCTTCCCCATCGGTTGGTTTATAAAAGAGGAATATTTTTTTTTTCACCAAAACATTGCAAATGATAAGAAGATGATAATTGTATGTCACGGAAATAGTAATTAAATATCATAATTTTTTTTTTATCATAAATATTTGTATATAACTTACGGCTGTTTGGGACTGATTCGATAAGGTACATCTTTTGTCACTGATTGTGTATCTAGTTCTTTATTAGTGATCGATGGTTTATGGTGTATTTTATCCTTCGAATAACTTTTATATGAGAATTGAAAAATTGCCCTAATTAATTTTATGTTTATTATATAAACAAATAAAATGTATGTGAAAATTTTTATTCGATATATCCGCAAAAATTCGATGTTTGTATATTACATTTTTTTAATAGAATAAGGATGACAAACGAGCATACAGTCCACCTGATGGTTCGTGGATGCTGTGACCCATACACGGTAAGTTGTCACCCTACAATTAACATTATACAATCAACACTTTAGTTAAGACGAGGAAATTTAGAACAACAAATAGGTCGATGCTATCTACTCTAATGTTAATTCAGCAGCTCGCGTAGAACATAATTCACTGGCCACATCCTAACTCCGTCCACAGCAAACGCTCCGGTTTCCCGAAGCTCATGAATAATAGCAGCATACTTGAATTGGAATTCATAATAAAATGAAGGCGGCGTTAATCGTTATCTTTTAAATTTTTAAATTATATTTTATTCAGTAAACTGAGACCTGATAATTTAAGTTTTATAACAATTAAAACAAGGTAAAGTTATAGCTTTAATAAGTCCCACTGCTGGGAACAGGCCTCCACTCATTTCTGGGAGGGATTAATGGCAAGGAAGCCTCCGCCACTTTAAGATGCTTGTGGTCGTTACTCCAATGCGTATTGGCGGACTTCACATTTCTTTGTTTACCGCTAAAAAGAAGAATCGTCGACGACCGAGTTCTTTCCGATCGGCTCGATACACTGGCACTGCGTAGAGATGTTGCATCTCTTTGCATTTTCTATCGAATTCACCACGGGGAGTGCTCTGAGGAATTGTTCGGATTAATTCCAGAAGCCAAATTTCACGAACGCACATCGCGTCAAAATTCACGATACCATCCTCACCATCTGGATGCTTGGAGGTCCACGACTGTTTTGTGAGTTTTCTTCCTCGTATGACTTCTCTGTGGGATTGTTCACCACCGGCGATTTTTCCGGACCGATACGACTTAGGGACCTTCAAGAAAAGAGCTTACATCTTTCTAAAAGGCCGGTAACGCATCTGTAATTCCCCTGGTGTTGCGGTTGTTCATTGGCGGTGGTAGTCACTTACCATCAGATGAGCCGCATGCACGTTTGCCCCCTCTCCTATAAAAAAAACCAAACCCGTGTAAGAGCAA